ATATAATCTGACATTAGATACACTGAAAAGGACTCAGTAAAAACAGTTGTAAGAACAGCACTTTGGGAGATATTACATGTACCCAGAGTGATATAATTAAATCAAGAGAAGCTTACAAAGTTGAATTGTGTGATGATACATGAAAACGTATATTTCTAAAGAGAGACAAAACAACTGAATCAACTGATGAACAACCCTCCCAGATTTCTCCATTTCATTTTAATTATTTCAATAAAATTACCATAATGTAAGAAAATACATTTAACTAAATTCTGTGGGATTCATAAAAGGAGATTTAGTCATTTGTACCAAAATCTAACACTTTTCATACATACAAAAAATGATGGTTTGACTTTCCCGCTCAGACATGTGATTTCTGTAAAAGCTTATTTTTTCACCACGTTTTTAAGATAGTGAAGGTACTTTATATAAAAGAATAGACTACATTACAGGGGATCAGTTATCACAGACTTCAGGCAGAAGATAGAAGCAATGGACCATGTTATAAGAAAATGTAATGTAAAGAAAAACTTTCAGGATTGGAAAAGTGGCACATTATAGCCATAAATAAACCATATCAATGTCTATTTGAAAGGTTCACTCTTCAGAGTCTGAGCTATGAGTGGGTCCCTGTGTCTGACACAATGTTAATGCCATTGATTTCACACAGTTCAGTTGATCTGAAGGAGGTGGTGGTGCGTCAAGAAATATAGCAATGTGCCAACAAAAGCAAGACAGAGGAAGACTGCTTCCTAGTTAACATGAATGTAAACATGCAGAATCTAAAATAATTACACAGTCGGATTTGCAAATGTTTTGAGAATGGTAATACATTCAACACAGTCTGTGTTCAAGGACACACCCAATGTTGTCTGAGGAGTAACACTCGATGTTCACTCAACGTAAATATAAGCTGTGTCGGTTCCAATTAAACCAAAAGGATCTAAAACGATTATCATTATCACAGGGACTAAAGAATGGGTGGAGTTCATCACGGAATGGGCAGCCAGCAAAAGAGTAGATAAGAGCTGCAGTATCAACGTCATAAAAGGAGACGAGACCCTCTTCATAATCCACAAACACCCCCACCTTCTCAGGCTGAGACTTCAGAGGGAGGAGGGCTGATGGGTCAGTAGACACATGGTACCCACCTTGCTGTTTCAAAGATAGAGTCCAGAAACCATTGTTGGTGCTCAGTGTGATTCGTCCCTTCATGTTGGACTCTGTGGTCACTCCTAATGTCAACATAGACCACCTGCTAACCTGAACCTCAAAGTAAAATCTTCCTGAAGTGAAACCCTGCTTTGATAAGACACATCTACAGACATGACGCTCATTTACCTGCTGCTTATCATTAGACTGGGTGGGTTTGGGATGGACTATATCAGGATCCAGTATCACATCCACTGCATACTGCTGGACCCTCTTCAGCTGAGCCTCAAAAAACTTCTTCATCTGTTTACTGAGCGTCTGCTCCAGCTGAATCACAGACCTCCTTAAAATCAACTCATATGATGGAGGACAGAAGCTGACCTCCCTCCAGTCCTTGGTGGGTGGAGCAGTGTTCAGGGATGAGAAGCTTTGGATCAGGTGGAGGTGATCTTCAGAGAGTGAGAGCTGCTCCACCTCACTGCTTCTCTTCTTCAGCTCAGAGATTTCCTGCTCCAGCTCTTTGATGAAGTCTTCAGCCTGTTTCTCTGTTGTTCTCTGCTTCTCTTTGATCGTCCTGATGAATTCAGCCTGGCCTCTCTCAACAGACTCCTTCAGAGCAGTGAAGACCTGAACACCTTCTGCTGTTTCTCTGTCTGCTCGTTCTTTACTGAGCTCCACTGAGCGTTTGATCTCCTGAAGCTTCAGTCGTCTCTTCTGGATCATCTGCTGAATTTCAGCCTCTGTCTCCTTCAGCTCAGCCTTCTTTCCTTCATATTCTTCTTTCAGAGGAACAACATCATGAGACTTGTGGTCTGAATAGGTGCAGAGCATGCAGACACACATCTAGTCAGTCTTGCAGAACAGCTCCAACAGGTTATCGTGATTCGTACACATCCTGTCTTCCAGGTTCTTCACAGGGTCGATCAGCTGATGTCTTTTCAGGCCTGACATGGTCAGATGAGGCTCCAGGTGAGTCTCACAGTAGGAGGCCAGACAAACCAGGCAGGACTTCAGGGCCTTCAGTTTGGTTCCAGTGCAGACGTCACAGGGAACTTCTCCTGGTTTGGCAGCTTGTTGCTCTGAGCTGCTGCTGCTGGTTTCCTGTTGAACTGACTGTGTGAACTGAGCAGTCATCTCAGAGATGAAAGTGTTTACATCCAGCTTAAGTCTTGTATTGTAAAGTCTTTTACAGGTGGGACACTGGCACTGGACATTAACATCCCAGTGTTCAGTGATGCATTTGTTACAGAAGTTGTGTCCACATGGTGTGGTGACTGGATCAGTGAACACATCCAGACAGATGGAGCACAGAAACTGATCCTCAGTCAGCAGACAGCTGGCAGCAGACATGTCGACACACTGAGGGCAAAAATGTGAAAAAAAATGTAAATGCAGATCATTTCATTACTTGTTTAATTACATCAATCTGTGATTAGTGGAAGGGGCGCTATCCTTGATTCCATCATTCACACAACTGAGGAACACATTTAATAAGGAAATGGCACAACGCAAATGTCAAAGGGACTTTTCAATGAATTGCATTGTAGACACTTCAGCCCCTTTTCCACAGGACAAAAAACCCGCTTAGACACACTAACAGACAGAGTGGAAGCTCTCCTCATCTTTCACTGCAGCTCTGTGGGTGAGGCTTTATTGCCTGTGCCAATGAGGTTATCTTTTCACCCATGTTTGTTTGTTTGTCACCACGATTATGCATTTGCACGAAACATGGTGGAGGGATGAGGCATGGGCCAGGGAAGAACCTGTTAAATGATGCTACAGATCCGGTTAAAGAGGTTTTTTAAATCACTCTCCTTGACATTTTTGTCAATATGTACTGAGTGCCATTCTCATTGCCTCTGGGAAAAACCTTCATATACTTTTTCTAACAAAAAGAGTACATCGATAAACCGACAACATCCGTCTCAAATGATCATGACAAAACTCCACACAGTGTTACCTGTGAGATCTATGCAGAGCTGCCAGGTGTGTGTGTGTCGCTGGTTGTTATGATGAAACGTGGGATATGGGGGATGCTTGACTGATCTAGAAACTCTTCACTTCAAACTCTTATCTATTGTTGACCAGCTGCAGGACTCTGTGCATATTTATCAGTAAGAGGAAACAAGTAGCAGTAATCTGCAGTGGTAAACATTTCAAACCTGTCCACTGGACAAAACTAACTGGTTAACTAACTAACTAACTGAATAATTAATAAGGATGTAATGTAATCAATCCAAACATTTATCTTCTTTAAAATTAGTGGGAGAAATTTTTAATTCATGTTGTTGTTTTTATTTTTTATTAATATTTCATATGGCTCATTAAGACACAAGTTAAAGTGACTACAGTTTTTCTAACAGATTTTTTAAATCTCAGGCATCATTTTATTCTGAAAATCCTGTCAGACACAAAGCTGTTATTCAAATGGAAAAAAAAGATATATGTGTGTGTGTGGGTGTGTGTGGAGAGGTTTTATATATATATATATATATATATAATGATTACATCTACAACTTTGAGTGTGGTATCCGCCTCCAAATTAGTAACATGCCTGCTGAACAGAGGTGCCCTCACACAGTATAAGACAAGACCACACCACACAACTTTATCTTTTGATCAATAGACTCCAATACTCCATTAGAAAAGTAGAAAGCTTTAAATTTTACTCTCACTCCTATACTGAGAAAATACTGAAGAAAATCAGACTTCACTGGAATCATGTTTTATTTATTGGAGACATTTACATTAACTGTATTTGTAACATTTTCAAACAAGTTGAAACAGAAGAAAAAAGCAATAAAAATCGAAATCACTGCATTAAAACTCAGGTTATTAATTGTCTGATATGCAGTTATGCTGCTGCAACTTTTTTCTTTAAATACACAGCGTGTCATTGTGACCTCCAGCTGCAGTTTGTGATAAGCTCCACTAGAGGGCGTCCTCAGCTGTCACTTATTCTCTACCAACACTGGTTTAGTTTTCATATCACCTGCTGAAACACAACTAAACTAAAATTAAAACTTTACATTACATTTAATCACCTTGCACCACATATAATCTGACATTAGATGACGAGGCTGCAGTTACATTGAAGAGGACTCAGTAAAAACAGATAGGAGAAAAGTTCAAATGAGAGAGACTGTTTTCAAATTCTGATAAAAATTTCCATACATTTTCCTCCGCATTTTTTCTCTAATTAACATGTTTTTGTGATCTATAAACACTTTAACACAGTGATTGAACTTTATAGAGACAATTAGACAACACTAGAAAGGATCAGTTATCACAGATTATTTCCAACAGAAATAGGAAACATTACAGCCTAATATGATGGAAAGCTTTGAACAATTAAAACCGTAAAAGCTTGTAGACATGTAAAAGCTGCTCTTTTTGCCACATTTTTGTGATGTTTTACCACTTTAATATAGTGATTGTACTTCATAGAAACTATTAGAGTACACTAGATCAGTTATCACAGATTATTTGCAACGGAGAGGAGCAATGGGACAAACTACAGCCTAATATGATACAAAGAAAAGCATTTAAATTTGGTAGAAGAAGGATGTAAATACTGTATAATGCCACTTTATGTGATGCTGAGCTTTTTCTCTCTAATGAAATCTAATGTTTCTACCCATTGTGATACACAACCCTGATCAGTGATGTCAATAGAGTGATTTGTTTTCAGGCATTTTACGCCTTGATTTGGCCAGTGATAGGCGAGATTGACAGGAAAGCCAGGAGCAAGAGGGAATGCCATGTAGCAAAAGGTCTGGGTTGGATTTGAACCCAGGTCAATGCCTCAAGGTTTTTTTTGTTCGGAACCTTCTTAAACTATAACTTATGTGGATTTTAACACCATCAGTCTGACATGGACTGAAGAACGGGTAGAGTTTATCAGTGAAGGAGCAGCCAGTAAAGGAATAGATGAGAGCTGCAGTATCAGTGTCATAAAAGTAGACTAGGCCTTCCTCATAATCCACAAACACCCCCACATTCTGAGGCTTTGACTTTGGAGACAAATGGACTGGTGGGTCAGCAGCAGCAAAGTACCAACCTAAGTACTCCAAACTTACAGTCCAGAAACCATTGTTGGGGCTCAGTGGGATTTGTCTCTTCATGTTGGACTTGGTGGCCACTCCTAACGTCCACATAGATCGCCGTCTTACCTGAACCTCAAAGAAAAATCTTCCTGAAGTGAGGCCGTGATCTGATAAGACACATCTACAGTTATCACCCTCATTTACCTGTTGTTCATCGTTAGACTGGGTGGGTGTGGGAAGTACTATATCAGGATCCAGTATCACATACACTGCATACTGCTGGACCTTCTTCAGCTCAACCTCTAACACCTTCTTTATCTGTTTACTGAGCGTCTGCTCCAGCTGAATCACAGATCTGCTTACAATCAACTCATATGATGGAGGACAGAAGCTGACCTCTGTCCAGTCCTTGGTGGGTGGAGCAGTGTTCAGGGATGAGAAGCTTTGGATCAGGTGGAGGTGATCTTCAGAGAGTGAGAGCTGCTCCACCTCACTGCTTCTCTTCTTCAGCTCAGAGATTTCCTGCTCCAGCTCGTTGATGAAGTCTTCAGCCTGTTTCTCTCTTGTTCTCTGCTTCTCTTTGATCGTCCTGATGAATTCAGCCTGGCCTCTCTCAACAGACTCCTTCAGAGCAGTGAAGACCTGAACACCTTCTGCTGTTTCTCTGTCTGCTCGTTCTTTACTGAGCTCCACTGAGCGTTTGATCTCCTGAAGCTTCAGTCGTCTCTTCTGGATCATCTGCTGAATTTCAGCCTCTGTCTCCTTCAGCTCAGCCTTCTTTCCTTCATATTCTTCTTTCAGAGGAACAACATCATGAGACTTGTGGTCTGAATAGGTGCAGAGCATGCAGACACACATCTGGTCGGTCTTACAGAACAGCTCCAGCAGTTTATCGTGATTCGTACACATCCTGTCTTCCAGGTTCTCCACAGGGTCGATCAGCTGATGTCTTTTCAGGCCTGACACTGTCAGATGAGGCTCCAGGTGAGTCTCACAGAAGGAGGCCAGACAAACCAGGCAGGACTTCAGGGCCTTCAGTTTGGTTCCAGTGCAGACGTCACAGGGAACTTCTCCTGGTTTGGCAGCTTGTTGCTCTGAGCTGCTGCTGCTGGTTTCCTGTTGAACTGACTGTCTGAACTGAGCAGCCATCTCAGAGATGAAAGTGTTTACATGCAGCTCAGGTCTTGTGTTGTAAAGTCTTTTACAGATGGGACACTGGCACTGGACATTAACATCCCAGTGTTCAGTGATGCATTTGTTACAGAAGTTGTGTCCACATGGTAAGGCGACTGGATCAGTGAACACATCCAGACAGATGGAGCACAGAAACTGATCCTCAGTCAGCAGACAGCTGGCAGCAGACATGTCGACACACTGTGAACACAATGTGAACAAAAGAAAAAAAAAGTTGTAATCTCAGAACTTTAGGTAATTTAATTATTATATTTAATTATATCAAACTGTGATTAGTGGAAGCAGCTTTATCCTGAATTCTGTGTTCACACAACTGAGAACTAAATTTACTGAGAAAACGGCACAATGCAAACACAAAGGGCACATGTCAATGAAATTATGACACAATCAGTGCTTACACAGATTGGTAGTGTACCTTTACTGCTAGAGATGCATTTTACGTCAACCAGCAATGAAAATAAGAGCAACCATTGCAACAGAGAGGAAGTAGTCTACAGCAAGGAGGAGTATGACTGAAAACAGGAAGCGTCCAACAAAAGTTCCTGATGGTGAAACTCTACGTTCAGAGGAAGGATTACAGTCTGAAAAAGAAAGAGGTCGACAGCGAGGGAAAACCCAGGTCACCATTGGTGTGGCTTTTCCTCAGTGGAGAGCACTGAAAGAAGAGAAGGGACTGAGGACAGACATGAATATCCTCTCCATGCTATTGGCATTTGTAAAAGATTTTGAGCAGGTTATGTTCTTATATCACCTACTCTAAATAATGGAGGGGGAGACAAGCGCCTGGTTGGATGCATCGATGCATTTGAGATCCGATCACTCAGACCACATCCGGAGGAGATCTGGGCCACATGTGTCACATGCTTTTAGCAGTGTGGACACAAATGCATCCTGGGCAACATTAAAGGACCGCCCACTCTACTAACGTCCTTTGCCACAGTCTCATTAGTCCCGCCACAGTTTCATAATGAACTGAAAATATTTTACTATTTCAATTGGATAAAATCTTATTTCACTGTAGAGCTGCGAGCAGCGCTTTGATTCACTCAACCACGATCGCTCTCTCTCTCTCTCTCTCTCCCTCCCTCTCTCTCTCTCTCTCTCTCTCTCTCTCTCTCTCTCTCTCTCACTCTCTCCTGCACACACTCAATCACATTGACAACGGACCCGTCTGTTGGATTGGCTCAAAACAACAACACATACCACCTGGTCACTCAAGACACACGTGGAGACGTATTTTAAGGCCAGGTGTGAACTGAAGTGCTTAAAGCTGACTTCTTATGATCGGATCACTGAAGACACATGTTGAGGATCTTCACAGACACTGAGCTCCTGTGAGTTTTAGATTATTTTCCAACCATAGGTGAAATCAGGGATTCAGCTTGGACAAAGAGGAGGAAGAGCAGGTACAGAGAGAGGACGATGACACAGAAAACATAGAAACAGAAAGTTGAAATCTGGATAAGAAAAGAGGGAATTGTCACAGTTTCCCTCCACAGCCCCACCCATGCACCGATTCAGTTTAAAATGACTCTTGGTTTCGACCTTGGGTGGGAACTTTTAAGGTTTGTGTCAATAGCAGTTGAAGCACAATCAATCTCACCAGCTGTACTCACCAGTGTTTGGATCCGACTCTGCTGTGTTGTTGAGAAAAACCTGATGGATTCAGTTTAGTTTTCCTTCAGAGAAAACAGACTTGTCTCGACTGCAGCTCTTCTGTCGCTCAGTCTAACTTTCACTTTCATTTCCTGGTTGAAACTCTCCTCATATTTCAGTGTTGCTCCGCCTCTCAGTGCAGCTCTGTATGAGAGGTTTTATTGACTCTTTATCTTTGAAACTTGGTGAATATTTACTTTCTATTCATTTATGTCTGCAATAGGAGTCTGATACAGTCTGTAGAACATACAACTATAAACCAACAACATAAGAAAAGAAATAAATAAAACAACTTCATCTTTTAATCAACAGACTCCAACACCCTCTTTAGAAAGGTAGAAAGCTTTAAATCTGACTCTGACCCCTCCACTGAGAAAGAACTGAAAAGATCAAAGACTTCACTGGAATCATGTTTTATTTATTGGTGACTTTTACATTCACTATATTTGTTACATTTACAAAGTTGAAACAGAAAAAAGCAGCAAACATCAAAATCACTGCATTAAAACTCAGTTTATCAACTGTCTGATATGCAGTTATGACTCTGCAACTTTTTTCCTTTTACTCAGCATGTCCTTGTGACCTGTAGCTGCAGTTTATGATAAACTCCACTGGAGGGCGTCCTTATTCTCTACCAACACTGGTTTAGTTTTCATATCAACTGCTGAGGCAGAACTAAACAAAAATCAAGCTTTACATTACATTAAATCACCTTACACCGCATATAATTTGACATGACGAGGCTGCAGTTACATTGTAGAGGACTCAGTGAAAACAAATAGAAGAACAGAACAACTGGAAGACATTACCTGTGCCAAGAGTGATATAACTACATCAGTAGAACCTTCTAAGTAAGTTAAATGATGTAATGATGCATGAACATGTATGTTTTAAAAATCTAACTTCAGAGCATTATGACCACAGAGCAGCGTGAGAAAAATCAACTGATGTAAAACCATCAAAGATTCTTCCACTTGGATTTATTTATTCCAAAATAATTACCACAACATTAGAAAAAAAGCATTTGGAAAATCACTGTTGGATTCATGATGAAATGAACTAAATGCTAATTAACCTGTTTACACAATCAAAATATTTTTTAAATGCCCAAGGCTACTGAACAACAGGGAAAAAAAAGAACCAAAATTGCCTAATAGTGAAATAATTCGAACAAAAAATGTACCCCGGACACAATTATTGTCTCCCTTAATTAATATTTGGTTGCAGAAACTCTGGCAACAATGACAGACTCTTAACATTTCTCGTAGCCATCTAGAAGCCTCTTATACCTGTCTGCAGGGAGTTTCTGCCACTCTTTTCAAGCTCTTTTAAATTTGCAGGAGACCTATTTACAATGGCAGATTTCAGCTCTCTAAAAAGGTTTTCAATGGTATTTTGGTCAGGACTCATTGCTGGCCAGTTTACAACAATCCATTTTTACCTTTTCAACCATTCTTTGGTGCTGCTGGATGTGAGCTTTGGGGTTGTTGAAAGATCCAAAACCTTCACCTCCATCTTATTTCTTTTATAGATACTTTATCTCTATACTTAACATTTGATATGTTTACTGTCGGTTCAGTGGAATAATCCTGATACTTCTTCAGCCAGGAAGTAGTGCAGAAAGGTGACGATGTCCATGCAGAGTGCACCAAGATACAGGAGAGAAACCTTCAGCACAGGAAAGGCAGGCAGCACAAAATCTTGAGACAACACACACCCTGAATTTAAGGGCGATTATATAAAAAGTGTTTGATTTTATAGTTGATGTCACTGAACACACTGTAGTGGATTTTATGACCATTATTATAACAGGGACTGAAGAATGGGTGGAGTTTGTCAGTGAAGGAGCAGCTAGTAAAAGAGTAGATGAGAGCTGCAGTATCAACGTCATAAAAGCAGACGAGACCCTCTTCATAATCCACAAACACCCCCACCTTCTCAGGCCGAGACTTCAGAGGGAGACGAACTGATGGGTCAGTAGACACATGGTAGCCTCCTTGCCGCTTCAAACATAAAGTCCAGAAACCATTGTTGGTGCTCAGTGTGATTTCTCTCTTCACGTTAGACTCTGTGGTCACTCCTAAAGTCCATGTAGACCACCTGCTAACCTGAACCTCAAAGTAAAATCTTCCTGAAGTGAAACCCTGCTTTGATAAGACACATCTACAGACATGACGCTCATTTACCTGCTGCTTATCATTAGACTGGGTGGGTTTGGGATGGACTATATCAGGATCCAGTGTCACATCCACTGCATACTGCTGGACCCTCTTCAGCTGAGCCTCAAAAAACTTCTTCATCTGTTTAATAAGTGTCTCCTCCAGCTGAATCACAGCTCTCACCACAGTCCCCTCATGTGATGGAGAACGAACACTGACCTCCCTCCAGTCCTTGGTGGGTGGAGCAGTGTTCAGGGATGAGAAGCTTTGGATCAGGTGGAGGTGATCTTCAGAGAGTGAGAGCTGCTCCACCTCACTGCTTCTCTTCTTCAGCTCAGAGATTTCCTGCTCCAGCTCTTTGATGAAGTCTTCAGCCTGTTTCTCTGTTCTTCTCTGCTTCTCTTTGATCGTCCTGATGAATTCAGCCTGGCCTCTCTCAACAGACTCCTTCAGAGCAGTGAAGACCTGAACACCTTCTGCTGTCTCTCTGTCTGCTCGTTCTTTACTGAGCTCCACTGAGCGTTTGATCTCCTGAAGCTTCAGTCGTCTCTTCTGGATCATCTGCTGAATTTCAGCCTCTGTCTCCTTCAGCTCAGCCTTCTTTCCTTCATATTCTTCTTTCAGAGGAACAACATCATGAGCCTTGTGGTCTGAATAGGTGCAGAGCATGCAGACACACATCTGGTCGGTCTTACAGAACAGCTCCAGCAGTTTATCGTGATTCATACACACTCTGCCTTCCAGGTTCTCCACAGGGTCGATCAGCTGATGTCTTTTCAGGCCTGACATGGTCAGATGAGGCTCCAGGTGAGTCTCACAGAAGGAGGCCAGACAAACCAGGCAGGACTTCAGGGCCTTCAGTTTGGTTCCAGTGCAGACGTCACAGGGAACTTCTCCTGGTTTGGCAGCTTGTTGCTCTGAGCTGCTGCTGCTGGTTTCCTGTTGAACTGACTGTCTGAACTGAGCAGCCATCTCAGAGATGAAAGTATTGACCCTCAGCTCAGGTCTAATATAGAAAACCTCTTTACAGTTTGGACACTGGTTTGGGACATTAACATCCCAGTGTTCAGTGATGCATTTGTTACAGAAGTTGTGTCCACATGGTGTGGTGACTGGATCAGTGAACACATCCAGACAGATGGAGCACAGAAACTGATCCTCAGTCAGCAGACAGCTGGCAGCAGACATGTCGACACACTGTGAACACAATGTGAACAAAAGAAAAATAAAGTTGTAATCTCAGATCTTTAGGTAATTTAATTATTATATTTAATTATATCAAACTGTGATTAGTGGAAGCAGCTTTATCCTGAATTCTGTGTTCACACAACTGAGAACTAAATTTACTGAGAAACCGGCACAATGCAAACACAAAGGGCACATGTCAATGAAATTATGACACAATCAGTGCTTACACAGATTGGTAGTGTACCTTTACTGCTAGAGATGCATTTTACGTCAACCAGCAATGAAAATAAGAGCAACCATTGCAACAGAGAGGAAGTAGTCTACAGCAAGGAGGAGTATGACTGAAAACAGGAAGCGTCCAAGGAAAGTTCCTGATGGTGAAACTCTACGTTCAGAGGAAGGATTACAGTCTGAAAAAGAAAGAGGTCGACAGCGAAGGACAAACCTGGGTTACCATTGGTGAGATCCGATCACTCGGACCACATTCGGAGGAGGTCTGGGCCACATGTGTCACATGCTTTTAGCAGTGTGGACACAAATGCATCCTGGGCCACATTAAAGGACCGGCCACTCTACTGACGTTCTCTGCCACAGTCTCATTAGTCCCCCCACAGTTTCATAATGAACCGAAAATATTTTACTGAATCACTGAAGACACATGTTAATGCAGGTCTGAGCAGAGCCTCAGAAACACCACGACCTGGATCACTGAGGATCTTCACAGACACTGAGCTCCTGTGAGTTTGAGACTATTTTCCAACCATTGGTGAAATCAGGGATTCAGCTTGGACAAAGAGGAGGAAGAGCAGGTACAGAGAGAGGATGATGACACAGAGAACAGAGAAACAGAAAGTTGAGATCTGGATAAGAAAAGAGGGAATTGTCACAGTTTCCCTCCACAACCCCACCCATGCACCGATTCAGTTTAAAATGACTCCTGGTTTCAACCTTGGGTGGGAACTTTTAAGGTTTGTGTCAATAGCAGTTGAAGCACAATAAATCTCATCAGCTGTACTCACCAGTGTTTGGATCAGACTCTGCTGTTTTGTTGAGAAAAACCTGATGGATTCAGTTTAGTTTTTCTTGAAAGAAGAACAGAGACTTGTCTCGACTGCAGCTCTCCTGATACTCAAACTAACTTTCACTTTCATTTCCTGGATTGAAATGTTGAAACTCTCCTCATACTTCAGTGTTGCTCCGCCTCTCAGTTACTTTCTATTCATTTATGTCTGCAATAGGAGTCTGATACAGTCTGTAGAACATACAACTATAAACCAACAACATAAGAAAAGAAATAAATAAAACAACTTCATCTTTTTATCAACAGACTCCAACACCCTCTTTAGAAAGGCAGAAAGCTTTAAATCTGACTCTGACCCCTCCACTGAGAAAGAACTGAAAAGATCAAAGACTTCACTGGAATCATGTTTTATTTATTGGTGACTTTTACATTCACTTTATTTGTTACATTTACAAAGTTGAAACAGAAAAAAGCAGCAAACATCAAAATCACTCATTAAAACTCAGTTTATCAACTGTCTGATATGCAGTTATGACTCTGCATTTTTTCTATTTATACGCAGCATGTCCTCATGTGACCTCCAGCTGCAGTTTGTGATAAGCTCCACTAGAGGGCGTCCTCAGCTGTCACTTATTCTCTACAAACACTGGTTTAGTTTTCATATCACCTGCTGAAACTGAACTAAAACTAGAACTTTACATTACATTAAATCATCTCACACCACATGTAATCTGCCATTAGATGATGAGGCTGCAGTTACATTGAAGAGGACTCAGTAAAAACAGACTGAAGAACAGAACAACTGGAAGATATTACATGTTCCCCATTGTGATGTAATTGCAGTAGAACCTTCTAATTAACTCAAAAAGTGTGAAGATACGTGAAAATGTATGTTTCTAAGAATCCAAATTTAGGCCACAAAGGAACATGAGATAAATCAACTGACGTATAACCATCAAAGGTTCTTCCACTGGGTTTTATTGATTTAAATATAATTACTACATTTGAAAAAAAGCATTTTGGACCCTGATGGGTTGAGGATTAGAAAAATATAGTGTACGTTAGTACCACTACCACTATATTAGTACATGTAGACCACTTTCCAACCTCAAACTCGAAGTAAAATCTTCCAGAGGTGAAACCCTCCTCTGACACATCTACAGACATAATGCTCTTTTACCTGTTGTCTAGCATTAGACTGGGTGGGTGCAGGAGTACTACATCAGGATCCAGTATCACATCCACTGCATACTGCTGGACCTTCTTCAGCTCAGCCTCAAACAACTTCTTCATCTGTTTACTGAGCGTCTCCTCCAGCTGAATCACAGCTCTCCTTACAATCAACACATGTGATGGAGGAAAGAAGCTGACCTCTGTCCAGTCCTTGGTGGGTGGAGCAATGTTCAATAATGAGAAGTTTTGGAGGAGGTGGAGGTGAGAGTGAGAGCTGCTCCAGCTTAGACAGTTTACACCCTCGAAACAATCTTTTACTGATCTTTGTTTCTACAGTCGGAGCCAGTTACAGTCATAACAAACATACATAACAAAAAAGGTCAGTGCAACAAAGAAAAAATAACACAGCACACTGTTTATCCTGTAATTTCACTTTCACTTCTACTTTCCAAACCATCTGTTCATCAAGAAAAAAAGTCAAGAAAAGTAGATGAAAACCTTTGTCACCGCACCACAAGAAGACCTTGAGTTTTAAAAAGTAGTAATTTAAAATCATTTCAAATCTCTCTTACGTGAAATATGGAGCTGCATAACAGACGAACACAGGCTTTATAATCATCACTTGAGTTTCCAGGCATTTTTGGAAAAGTGTAGCCCTTCACAAATGTATTCATGTGACATGTTTCAGTATCAGATGTTCAACGGGAGCTTGTCCTCGTGTGGCCTCCAGCTGCAGTTTCTGATAGATTCCACTAGATGGCGTCCGGCTGCCACTTATTCACCTCATTAGATGACATTAGATATCACACCCAGACTCAGACACCAGGCAGATGGTTTGGTTTGGTTTTCATAAAACAAATGAATTACTGAGAAGTGTCGACCACCTGCTGCAGGTTTTGTTCTTGTTGTAAAGAGCTGTTATGTGTTTAGTGTTTTTACTATTTTCTGGAAATATCACATGATTCATATCATCGATTTGTTACGGAAGAGGATTACGGCCACATGGACAAAATATTCAGAAAAAAAAGTAAGAGGTTAAAGTCAGAATACTGTGTATGTAATCTGTTAACCATATTACAATTTTGATAATTAATTAAATTAATCACTTTTCATAACTGTTTGGGAATCTGATGCTTTTACTTGAGAGCTGACGTCAGAGACATAATAGGAAACAAATAAGATTTTTAACTAAACTAAATCAAATTACACAAATTTCTCAATGTACAAACATAATATAAGATAAATATATTAACATGAAAAAATACATTAAATACTTTTTTCTTTTTCTTTTTTTTTTTAAATATTATAACTTTTAGGAGTTTTTTTGTTAAATTCAACTTTGCTCTCAAACCATATCAGGTAAGTATTTAACCTGTGGGTGAAGACACAGCTGGTACTGGCAGATTCTTATTTGTGCGTTTGTTGTTTTCATTAATTCATGTTTAATATGTTCAACAACCGTTCTCACTTTCTTTCTCTTAAAATAATTTCTTTACATTTGCATTTATTTGTCTACAAGTGTGAAATAACCGGAGCGACTGTAACAGCGTATAAAAGCCATTTGACCTTTTTTTTTTTTCATGTTTGTCCCTGGTTTATTTCAGCAGGATCCCAGAAGAGTGTTTCCATAATAAGTTTATCTTGTGAAACACAGCTTGTTTGGGCCCCTTTGAGACCTGCTGACAGTCAAATTCAATTAAAACATGATGCCAACATCCCGGCAAACACTCCCTACTACTCTCAGAGAAATGTCGGCTTTCAAAGTCAATTGTGTCCGATGTGAAGAGCCTGCCTTCATGTCCCCGTCTGGAGCCTTTTCACGTGCTAAAATAAGAGTTTCCCCCTCTTTCCCCGAGTCGACATGAGCAAAGTGAGCGCTGTGAAAGGCTCAGAGAGAGCTTCCATTTGACGACTGGCAGCCTCAGGTCTTGTGTCTGTGTGACACTATGGGCCGCTACAAAAGCTCGTCCTTTCTCCTGCTGCAGAATAACACTGAGAGAAAAGAAAAGAGGTGGTGCATGATGCGGAGGAGGGAGGATTTAAGGGGGAGGGAAAGGGGGGTGGGGTCTGGCTTTTGAAACGGGCCCGGCGCAGATGTATGGGGCAGGAGGATTAGGCTGTGGGTGTTGGTGATGTTCACCCAGCTCGGCTCTCCCTCCGCCGCGGCCCTTTGTGGCTCCCAGCAGCCTCGGGGTGGTAAGCGGCCAGCCGGCGTGCCAACGGGGCTCAACGTGCACCCTGACAATGGTGGAGTGACCCCCACCCCCCCTTACCCACCCTCCAACTCGACCCACCTACGACTCCCAACTCACCCCTCCTCACCCATTGCAACTCCTCACACAGAGGATGTGATAGGGGAGCTAATATCACCCCATCTGACCAGCAGCAGGGAGGCTGTGTGTGGTGATGGATCCATAACGATGAAAACAACAACCTGTTCACACACCCACATTCTGGGGTCCCGCCTTCGATCTGGGCGACAAAAACTCAGTCCACACTAGACAACATTTGATTTAAAGGTGAACTCCACCAATTCTACAAGTCAAAGTCTGTTTCCTGGTCTTGGGGAGTACGATTGCATGTGTGGATCCTTTACAAGTAAAAGTCCTGCATTCAAAATCCTACTTCAGTAAAACAACAATGATGCTATTAGCAAAATGTACTTGAAAGTATCAAAGTAAAAGTGCTCATAATGCAGAATGACATTATTAGATTGTTGATACTGATGCATCGATGCTTCAGCAGCTTTTTAATGTTGTTGCTGCTGCAGGTGGAGCTGGTTTGAGCCCAGTGGTTACCAACCTAGGGGTTGAGCCCCTTCAAAGGGTCACCAGAAATATTGGAGGGGTGATGAGATGATAAAGGAGAGAAGGAAAAAGAAAAAACAAAGTTCTGACACACAAATTGTTATTGTTTTTTTCTCTAATCTTTACTTCTGTTTGGTTCTTTTATGATTATTGTTTTTTATATGAAACAATCTGAGAAGTTTAGCGGGGAAGTCGGTCTTTATTGGAACTGCCAACAACTTCTGTCACAATAGGCCCCAAATAAAGACACTGATTTATGAAGCGTATTTCAAGCGCTTATTGTGTTTTAAAAAAAAAAGAGTTTTTGTACATCTTAATGGTAATCTTAATATGAAAAGTAACTATGAATAAATGCAGTGGAATTAAAAGTACAACCTTGTACCTTAATACAGTACTTCAGTAAATGTACTGTTACTTCCCACCACTGCCAGAGGGAGCCGTGTGAAGTCTGATAAATGTCTGCTTCAAGTGATATCCCTCAGCGTGGGTCGGGTCTGAAGACTACAATTCATTCATTCATTCAACCGTTATTAAGGACCCAGCTCATTGGGGGGTCCAGAGTAAGAGAAAGAAAATGTGGTGGAACACTAATCGTTCCAGATTCTGGACGAGAACCTGAAGTTCGGGGTTGGTTAAGACTTAGATAATACAAGTTTGAAAAGTTATAAAAACACACTGCTGCAGGCTCCAGGATACATTAGCCACTACTAGCATAACACACCCAAATCTCTGGCTGAACTGTTGATGGTCGACTTGCATTGTGGGTAATGTAGTCACCAGGTTATGACAAGGGGGAAGGATCCACCCGTTGGCGCATTTGAAGGAGCCTTTGAAATGGGACAGCCCAGTCGTGCCACTGTGACGCAACCGGTCTTCAAATGCAGCCTCCGGAGGATGCGGCCCCTGAATTGGGACCCAGTTAAAACCTATTAAGGGATAAATTCACTATCTTGAGTTTCCCGTACATATTAAGACTTAGCTTTAATCTTAACGTAACACCAAGAAATCTCCGTCGATCTGTCTGTTGATGTGTCGGTCCACCACCGAAATATCTCGA